TATGTCATTATATTGTATACCTAAAATGTACCAATTATTAGAATGAATACTCGATAATGCAAAATAGGAAGAAAAGGTCCAAAGAGGTAGGGGTAGTAGGAGGGGCAGGGAAAAGGAAAGAAGGGAAAGGAAATATGATGAGAATGGAAAAACTGGAAATAAAGTCTTTGTAAATAGGGAAGGGTGGAGAGGGTGAATGGAGGGCTAGGAATGGGGAAAAAATAAGAACCAACATGCATCATGTAAAGGTAGAAGTTCCCAGTGAGAAATGTAATTGTGTTGTATACCTAAAATGTACCAATAAAAGAATTTAACAACAACAACAGCAACATATATATATACATATATATACATATATGTATATATATACATATATGTATATATACACACATATATATACATATATGTATATATATTTCACATTTTTTCTCAAAAACTACTCATACAATTTCTAGGCAGACTGAAACTTCTAAAATCATGTTCTCTATACCATGGCCACAAGGGAAATACATTGGAAAGGAAGAAAAACAGTTTTTAAAATTCCTTTGGTTCTCTAGGGGTTATATGGAGACGAGACATAAATTATTTATCATGAGACATTCAAGAGGTTATTTGCTTTTCTCTAGCAGCTGAGACACAAACCTGTACCAGTTACGCAAGATCATCCAACAACATGTAATTGTTGGAATAGAACTCCTTCCTTGTTAAACATAAGCCATAGAGATATGGCCAAGACTTGACAAATAAGAAAATATGTTAAAATTTAAAAATCCAAAATTCTGTGGAGGGAATACTTGTGTGGGGGGGTAAGTATTTATTCTAGACAACTAGCCAGTTGGGGAAAAATAGCAGCTTTCTTTAGAGCCCTTTTCATGCAAAAGCCAATTGATATGTACCAGAAATAAAGACACAAATGAATTCATACTATTTTCTGTCCAGTTAAATATTCAGTAATTCATTCATTCAACAAACATATCCTCAGTGCCTACAGAAAATATGGTTGATGTTGAATATTTAAATGTATGACTAAATTCATGAATGTATAAGACTTAGGGTAAATGTCATGTAGAAAGAGACCTTACAAAGGAAATGATATTCTTTTAAATACTAAAAGTAAAATTAATAAATGAACCATGAGTGTTATGTATAATATTCTGTTTTTAGAAATGACTGATTCACAACTTCATCAAAGTATTATATGCACTCACTGATGCATTTAAAGTGTACAGTGTGAGTTTTGGCCCACATCTACATCCCTGAAACCAACACTACACCCAGGATAATGCACCTTTACTTTATCAGGGCCTGGACTGCAGCACAGGGGGATCAATGTACAGGAGGGAGCCCTCCTTGACTACACCCCAAAAGAGGCTGGGGAGTGCTGCTTCCATGGGAGCTGCAGCCTGGGTCAGTGAGGGGCAGAGCTGAAACCAGGGAATCTTTTGGAGAGTTTGCTGTGAGGGTTGGGTATGCAAATAAAGGACCCAGATCCCACCCTTCCGGATCTTTGCTACACCAAGGCTCCTCCTCCCTTCTCTCCTGACTCCACACATGTTTACCCAGCTGCCTCCTAGATGTCCTCACTTATTTGTCTCAGGGACAGCTCAAATGTCACAAGCCCCAAACTAAATCATCCAGCTGGAGGACCTTGGGCACGTTGGTTAACTGAATTAGGCTTCACTTCCTCAGCTATAAAACAGGGTCAATACTAACAGCCACCGGAAACAGAAGCCTCTTATGGAGATGAAAAGAAACTGCATGTCAGGTAGACACCGGCAGAGACACTGGCCCATGCTAAGTGACCTGAAGTGTTAACCATTTCTTCCTCATACTTTCTCCACATCTATCCTCCAGGTGATTCATACACTAACTCACTCAAGCCAGAACCTTGACCACGTGGAGCTCCTTCCTTCCTCAGCCTCAGTCATGATGCCCCTGCCCTTCTGTTCTGTCTCCTAAATATCTATGTCTTGCCCTCCCTGCCATCACCTTCCGCCCTCCTCATCCCCAGGGACTACAGCTTTGCTTTCCCTGATTCCTCCCTGCATGATACACTGTGCCTTTCTCCAGAGAGGGAGCACATTGTGTAACACCACTCTCCTCTTAGAATCTTTCCATAGCTCCCCATCGCTGTGGGGACAAAATCCAGACTCTCTGGAAGAGCCAAGGCTCCTTAGGACCTGATCTCAGTCACTCCTTCTCATCTCCTAAGCTCCAGCTGGTCCTCCTTCATGGAGGAAGGAGGCACCGGTGTCCTGCAAGCCTCATCAGGCTCCCTTGCCCCAGAGGGTCCTCCTCCCGCTACTTCTCTTCCTTTTAGCCCGGACTCCACTTCCTCTGTGAAGTCTTGCTGGACTTCTAGTGGGATGCCTATCTTTCTTCTTTTGCTTTCCAGGCCCTTAGCCCTAACACAATCTTTTTTTTTTTTTTACATTTTTTTTCTTTTTCTTTTTAATTAATCTTATTGGTACATTTAAGATATACAATATAATGACCTTCATCATTGGAAATTTGGACCTTTACATAATCCATCTTGGTTTTTATTTTTTTTCCCATTCCCCTGTAATTATCCCCTCTCCTCTCTGTCCTCGCCTCTAGACTGAGGTGTCCCCGGACTCCTCCTTGGGTTGCGGTGCTTGCCGGCCAGGCCTGCTCAGCACCCCTTTGCGGCCCCGGGTCGCCTCGCTCTCTTGCGCCCCTCCCTGTCCTGTCCCGGCCTAGGTGCCAAGACGTCTCCCAGGCCTGGGGCCTCAGCCCGCAGCCAAGGTGGGAAAGTGCCCCTAAAAATTGTAATTTTAAAGAAAATACAGCATCAAGACAGAGTCAAAGTTACACAAGGGTGCAATACCATTTTCACCCCTTTTCCCCTTCCAGCGCCCTACTCTTAAATGCCTAAGATAAAATAAGCTCATAAATTTGGCCGGTGTTTTCCATTTAATACTATAAATCCATAAATTCCAAAATCCCCACTCTCAAAGAAAGAGAATTATTAATTGGATACCATATCTTCCAACTTCAAACACAAGCGAATCATATATATTTTAACCTGGTTGTTAAATGGATTTTGCTCCAGCTCACTCATGAGCAATCTGCACCGTAAGGAAACAGACACTTGGTAAATGAAGAAGAGCTTAAAAATTAACATCCCAGATCTTTCATCTCGAGAAAACCCAAGACCAAATAAATACCCAACACTGCATTCAGACCATAGTGTGCCTCACCCCTCAAATGCCTATACTCTTTCTCTCAGAATGTGTATTTTGAATCTGCCTAATAAATCTATTCCTCTCACTGACTGGTATTGGTATTTTTATCTGCAATGAGAGGCAAGAACCTAGTCCAGGGTTAATTGAGATCCCCATTTTCTTTTTAGGCAGAACATTTTGGACCCTGTCAAGTGACACTAGGACTATGAGCTTTGTTGTACTCCATACTCTGTTTCCTTGACTTGAGAGGAGCCCACTTTCTGTCCATATCTCCCCTCCTTGTCTGATAACTTGGAAACTCAGTGACCTGGGACAGTCATCAGTTATTACTGAGGTTACGTGTTATAAAAATCACTGCTTCCTGTAATTTTCCATTTTTTCAAATGGGAAGATATTCCATTTCTCCATCTGGGCCAGAAATATGAAAGAAGATGCTGGACACTTGACTTTTTTTTACAGTGACTTTCTTGTTCTAGTTTGTAATTTACCTTATCATTCCCTATCCCATACCTCTAAAATAATTTTATTTTTCTTTTACTACTGTAAATGTCTTTTATTTTTGTACCACAATTGCAAGCAAGAGTTTGGTCTTCAGGGAACAAAAAGGTCTGAGGTGTGTTATACGAAATGTCACATTTTAATGAATTTGTAACAATATTCTCAATGATATTTTCAAACAGTACCCAGGAGGAACCATTTCAATGAATATCAAACTATCTTTGATGAGTAGATTAACAGGAAATATTTAATATGGGACAGAGAAAATCCATGGAGACATGAAAGCTAGTATCCAGAAGTAGTTTTCAGGGTGTTTTAGTTAGGTCTTTGTGATTATGAAGAACACGCTTTCTTAAATTAAGTACAGTAAAATAGGGATAGTGGTTATAGCAATCAAAATGTAAGACAAGATTAAAGTACCTAAGAAAGGATAATAATATGCCTTGGGCCTCACTGAATCTCAAACTAAACCCAGAAACTGGAACATGAATTTATTGCCCTTCAGTGTGTGCTTTGTTACTGTAATGATCATTATTCCTCTGTCATCTTTGGGATCCCTTTACGTGTATTCTTGTTTATTTCACCATCCATCCACTAGCCCTTTGCACAGCTGCTCTCCATCTTTGTTTCTCTACCTTCAAGTTTCTTTGTACTCAAGGTGTTCTTTCCATAATTTAGTCTTCTTATGAAATTCACTCTTAAGTCCCACCCTGACTATGTACATACTTCTATGTCTATTCTCATGACCAATTACTTCATTTACTTTATGATTCA